GGTTTCTTCGGAGCTGTTTATCTCTGAAACCACCGCTGATTTTGTAGGGTGCAATACTGCAAAATCTTGTTGGCTTAGGCCTGTAGTCAGTGGAGTATGCTGGGATCAGCTTCTGCAAAGTAGTGATAGCCACAGACAATTCACACAGCTGCAGGGGATCAGCAACTATAGAAGCCATTGCACAAGTGGGAATAAGCTCTGAAAATACAGTCTTGTTTCAATTAAACAGTTGTGTAACTCCAGTGCCTGGCAAGGCTCAGGATTAGTGCCTGTGCTTCCAGGGTAGGAAAACAGTGAAGCATGTGCTGAAATACTTTCAGCAAATTAATTTCAAGTCTGTGGGTAATATACTAATATTGAAGTTTTTCCCTGCTACTTGGTTCTGGTTTTCTAAAGGAGTGGTGCCTTCAAGAAATATAACTGTTAAAATGTGAAGCCTTATTGTAATCTAATCACCTCTAAAGCCTTTGAGGAGGGGCAAGTACCAGAGCTTTTAATGTGTATGAAGAGAGTTTAATAATCTGGTTATTTCTTATCACAATTCTTTATCTTGCAAGGAAGGTCTGTAAATTAAGGCCTTTGCAGAATTAGAAACAAATGATGGTGTACAAAAGTGCATTGAAGAGAATGAGAATCACTAAATGCTAAAGTAGTAAGAGGCTCTTGTTCTGAGGCACAAGTGTATGGTTAATGTAAAAAAGTTGCATGTTTTGTTTGTTCCTCCTAGAACTTCTCAATTAAAGATTGAGTCTCTTAGGCATACATATTAAGAGGTTACATACCTGGGTTTCTCTAATGCTATGGGTCCAAGGGATGACTTAAATGCTTGCTTCAAACCCAAATGAAGAAAAGCTCTACTGCCTGCCTCTAGCATGCCTCCCATCTCTGGCATGCCAGCCAGATCTGATGCCTCACCAAACCTTCTTTCAGACTTGTCAAGCACCAGGTATCTCAAAACCAGTTTATCTAGAATGGTCTGGAATAAATGGGATGTTTAAAATAATTGCTGCTGATTGGATCCAAATATTTTTAATCGATAAGTTCAAACATAAGCAACCAAGTACAAGAATAGTCACTGACTTTTGTTCTCGTGAAAATGCATTATCAAGTGTCCTAGTCTTCTGTATCATAGAAGGTGGCAGAAAAAGCAGGTGACTTTGGGACCCATCTCTGAATATCTAGCATTGCACTCCTGCCTCAGAAACTCCTTTTTAACCAGTTCATAGGGCCAGATCCTGTATTAATTAGTAATTAGGGGGATGGGGAAAGAGGAGCTCAGTTAGGTCTGTAGGGTCACAGATTGGAATTTATTTCCTGGTAAGGACAAGAGAAAAAGTTAGTCAAACTGAAAGCTGTAGGAGGTTTGGTTTGGTGTTTTTTTGTGAACTGAGGGGTTTAGAAATCTTCTTACACGTTGACTTAAAAGACGTAACAGACTATTGATTTTACAATAGATCATCTTAGCAACAGAGAAAACCCCTCACTCAAACTCTTCTTCTATTTCTCTGGAAGGCTAAATTATATTGCGTTGTCAGATCAAGTACTGGAATATATCAATAACATCTGAGTGAATGGGAATGGTAGGAAACAGAAAGTAGGCAGACTTTTCTTTATTGGAAGGAGGTCTTGACTAGATTTATTAAGAGCAAATGGTGGAGAAAAGTTATTCACATCATAAAAATACATCTTCATGTCTCCCACTTGGCTTTCCAAATTAATCCTACTGGCATTACACTTTTCACAAGCAATACAAATGTAAGGCTTTCAGAAAAATGAAAAAGTAGGGACAGTTCAAAGCAATTTTGACATTAAATAAAACAAGGATGCTGTGCCGCTTGCATTTTCCTTTGCTTTATCTTACTCTTTAAATATTCTGGCTGGTTTAATTTCTCAAGGTAGTTGCTGCCAGATCTTCTTTTTTCTTTGCTGAAATAACACAAAATCTGGATTCTCTGTAGAATGTTAAGTGTATTGTAGCACATCAGAGATCTGAGAAGGTGAAATCAGTAATTCTGTATTGGTAGTAATATATCAGTGACCATTTCTAAAACCACATCAGAGTTTAGTTTGGAAGTGAACAGGACACTGACAACAGCTAATACTGAGCCTACTTAACTGCAAGAGGCCACTGATGTAATAAAATTGGCATAAGATTTTATTTATTTCTCGATTAGAATACTAACTAACCCAATTTAATGAAACCCTTGTGACTCCACCTTCTGATAAGAGCTCACATCTTAGGAGAGACAATTCTGAAACAATTCAAACATGGTAATTGCACCAGAGTGAACTACTGTTCTGGTAAAAGCCTATTTCCTGAGAAACACTATGAAAAAGCTCTTAATTATGCAGTTTTATTGTAAAAATAAAGCACATGGTAACACATGGTAATGTCAATGTATTTTAATGTTGCAGTGTTCAGTCTTACTAGATTGGGTTAGGAAGTTTTCTAGAAAAGAAGTATGTGTGTAGAAAAGGAAAGCCAGTGCCCTGCTCTGGGGGCATTCCTCTCCTGTAGCCCACAGAAGTACAGCCCTAATTGCTGTCTTGTTGATGGATTTGCCCAGATAACACTTGTGGGTTTAAATAAAAGAATTACTTAAGGGTGTACTCTGATGTGCCCTTCCCTGTGGTAAGGGCTATCTTCTGCTCTAAGTCTACTTGCTGAGCTCTTATGAATGATTCTGAAACTTTGGCACACCAGACGGGATGTTTATATCACTGTGTGAACAGTCTGTCACCTACAAGTGTGAAAGTACAACGTTAGGGTAGGATAATCTTTCTCATCTGCTTGTAGTCTGACACAGTCCTCTGACAGAAATCTGTATTTTACATCACTGGATCTGCAGAATAAACCTGCTAAATTAGTAGGAGATAAACTCGCTGTTTAATTTTAGAAGGGTGCTGGTATGCATTTAGCAATGTTTGTTCACTACAGCAGGGAAGTGCAGCACATGTCATGATGACAGTTCAGCATCTGCAAAATTACAGCCTTGCTCTCTCTTTTCAGTGCATACTTGACGGCTGATCAATAAGCACTTTGGGGGCTAATTAAAGTCAGTTCAGTGATGGATACTCTCACAGGATAGTCTATCAGTTCAACAGTTTGGTGGACATTTGAGAAGCATTACTGCTTATTTTCTCAGATTATTTGTTGTTTGAATAACAGGTCTATGGATCTGTTACATATTGACAGATTGGAGATCTAGAGATCTCATAACTCTTCATACAATAAGTCTATTTGCAAGAATTAGGAGGCAAACCTGTTACTGTGTTTAATGATATCTAATAGTCTTAAAAACTCCAGGGCAAAAAGATGGTTATAGTGTTAAGGTAAAGAATCATATATGGAACTTAGCTTGCAAACTCTAAGCTAATTTGTTAAGGAAGTATGCGCTGAAATACTTGGAAGCCAACTCCCTAGCTTAAGTTTAGCCGCTGCAGTATCAGCTCTTAAGAAAACGTTGACAAATCCTGAAGAAGCTTTCCCAAGAGGCTTGCAAAATAGTTATGTCACTAGTGCATGAGATAAGCAGTGCTATCAACACAACAAACTGGAGCGGAACCAAATGCATAGACTGATCACTGCACTGTACGGAGCCTGTGTTGATTTCTAAGCCAGTGTGGCTCAGGCAGGACAGACTCTGTTGTCCTGCCCTGTGAATACTGCCAAAGAGGGAGCTGATTTTTCAGTTTTAATTATCTTGGGAATCATTTGTAGAAGGAGCTTGTGCAGAGTTCATTGCGAGAACACGAATTTCAAGTAGACATCTTGGCTCCCCATGAAGCCTATGAGGTCTATGTAGTTCTCCCACAAAACTTGCCTTTCAATCAGTGTAGAGTGAGACACCCTGGATTTTTAGCATGTGCTGTAAGAAGGCAGTGAGAGGACAGAATACTCTTCAGTGATGCGAAGTTAGTGGAGTCAGCATGGAGACATTGGTGGTAACAGGTAGTGATACACTTGTACTCCTTCAAGAAGTACTTTGTCCAACAAGCAGGCGAGCTGAAATGTTGCAGCCACTCAGAAGGACATTTATGCCTAGCCCACTAGGCACTCAGAAAAATTGTTTATAAAACTTGAGTGCTTACTGCTTTTGGCAGGCAGATCAAATCCTCTCTTCACTGCTTAGATGCTTTGAAATGCACAGTTAGAAAACTCTGAGATATTATTTTTCCCTCTGCAGGCAGAGTACAAAAGAAAATAACTTTCCTAGGTCATATAACACATGAGTTTGCCTTGTCCCACCAACTAAAAAGTCTCTGGAGCTGACGCAGAACAGAAGCTAAAAAATAAAAGCAAACACCTATAGCATTATGTAAAGAAACACTTTAAAAATGGATAGAAAGGCCAAAAGAGAAGGACACAACATTGGTTTTTTATTTCCTTTCCCCATAATTTTTAATAGAGCAATATCACATGCTGTGCATCTCTGTTTTATTTTATAAATCATTTCTCTGAGGATTGAATTTCTTTTCTTTGCAGTAATTCTTTTGTTTTAATGTGCCTGTATGAGTTAGAATCCCTGGGCACTGATTATCGACAACTGTAGGAGCAAGTGCAGGATATAGGAGACCAAACATGCTGTTTGGGTGAAGCTGGGAACCTTGCAGACCTCGGCTGTGTGGGCTTGCCTTCTCTTCCTAACCCAGATTCGTCTTTGCGTTTTTGCCTCATTCATGTGGACTGTGAGCTGCTGGGGCAACAGCTCTTCCTGAGCAGTGTAGGCAGTGCTTGGGCAGGGAGCTCTGCACTCTGGTCAGGCCTTGGAGCACAACTGTGCTGTAAAATAGCAGCAGCAATAACACCAAGTTCCGCTCCACGCAGTTGAGTTCTTTTCAGTAAAGAGCTGTAAACTTAGGTTTCTAAAAATAAAAACAAAGCTGTTCTTTTTAATGGCTGTCTCCAACTGTTTTACCTTACTACAAGAAGTTAGTGAAGAATTGCTTGTTTCATTTTTAATAATGCTACATCGGTTTTATCAGCAGCATGGCATCAGTCTTAAATAGCAGCACACACAGTTATGATGTATAACACGCATGGTTATGCAAAATTGCAGCTCTCTAAAAGTGTCTGTCTTTCTGTTGCGCAAGACTTCAAATATGCATCAGTTCGGCCATCCACTGACATGAGTGCAGCTGGTTTGTCTCAGCCCATGCTAAGCCTTGCTGCAGTGAATTTGCAATATCTAGCTTTAATGTTCTCTGGGTTGCCACTCTATGGCTGCTCCTTAGGCTGGCATAATTACTCACTTACAAAAAGTGTGCCTCTCCCTAGGCAGCATTTCAATGCAGCCTCCCAAACCATTCTATCTCTTCCATGGGTCTCACAGAAGGCCTATTTGAGTCCTCCCTGGCTGTGCCCCTCAGAGGAGATGTGTATGGTTTGCATGGCCTTCACCCCAAGGTAACATCTGCTGGCTAGAACTCTGGCACCCTGCAAAGAAGAGCCGAGGCCACTGGCTGCCTGGGGATGTCTTCCTGCTTGAAACTTAAGAGAACAACACAAAAAAAGCCAAACAAGCAACAACAAAAAAAAAGTGTTGGGGAAGGTGGAGATTTTTTTTTGCTGGAAGTGGGCAGAGACAGCCCTCCCCAGCATGGGTAAGGGGTTTGTGGTTGCTTGCTGCCCACTACACAGCGTTTAAGCTGAGGTTTTTCTTGCTTGAAGAAGAAAGGGAGGACTGGGCTAAACTAGTCCCTCTCCTTCCTTGTGGTCTGTGCAAGCATGTATTTGCATGCTGGCAGCCCAAGCTCTCTCAGCTGCAAAGCCAACATCTGTGTAGAGGGAAGCTAATAGCATTAACTGTGGGCTATGGGGAAAATGTCTTCACAACTTGTTTATCAGGCAGCTCCTTTAGCTCTCATCTGGTTTTACACTGTGCTCAATCTGCTGGCTGTGCAGTTGGCAACCACTTCTTTCCAGGCCATGGACATATATCCAGCTGGCTGGGGATGTGTTCCCAGACCAAAGCTTCCCATTCGCTCTGCTTTCTTCCCCTTTCCTCAGTGCTGAAGGGATCCTTCTGCTTTCGAGCATTCGGTGTCCACGGCCAAGCTGTTAACTTAGCCCTGAAGATAGTTATATATCAGATAGATATGGCACCAATATAGATTTAGTTTTGTTGTTCATTATTTTTGGGTTTTCTTCAAAGAGAAGAATTTTCATTCAAAGACAAGAATCCTGAAGCTTAATAAGAATTATTTGTGCTCTTTCCTATCAGAGCAATGAAGGAAAAAATCCATATTGGGATACTATTAAATAAATAAGAAAAGAAAAATGCTACCAGAAGTCCTCAATCTCTGTTGGCAAAGAAATTTACCCACAGTCTATGTTTATAAGAGAACATTTTACTCAAAGACCTTTTGATTTTTCTGTAGATATCTTTATATTTTCTTTTTCTCCTAACTCTCCTTTGACTCCTGTCATTTGCAGGTCATGAAAACATACCACATGTATCATGCAGAGAGCATCAGTGCAGAAAGCAAGCTGAAGGAGGCAGAGAAGCAAGAAGAAAAACAGATTGGGAGGTCAGGAGATCCTGTTTTTCATATTCGACTAGAAGAAAGGCACCAGAGACGGAGCTCTGTGAAAAAGATTGAAAAAATGAAGGAAAAAGTAAATAGTCCTTTTATTTAGCTTCATTTGAAGTAAATTCAGTGCATCTCTGACATTCTTTAGCATGATATTAGAAAGAGAAGTCCAGATGGGAAATAAAATTAAACAAAATATGCATAATAAACTAGCAGTGGCTTATAGATAACTTGACATAATTGCAGTTCAGAGGGGAATACTTTATTCCCAATGTAATTCTTACTATATCGCTTGTCACATATGAAACAAAATACTAAGTTTTCACTTTGTATTACATTTGTTATATACATAACAGGCTGGCAATTAAGATTTTTTTTTCTTGCTGATAGAAATGTGTGCTTGAGTTGTTACCATTTTTGTTGCATATCAAACCCAAAGTAATTAAGATACATTAATATGCAATGTCTTTCCTAGCGCCAAGCAAAATATTCTGAAAACAAGCTGAAATCTGTTAAGGCCCGTAATGAATACCTGCTCACTCTTGAAGCAACAAATGCTTCTGTCTTCAAGTATTATATTCATGACCTTTCGGATTTAATTGACGTAAGTATTGGCACGTTTGTTTTGATGTTTATTCTGTTCAGGAATAATACTTTTTCATTTTTGAAGGGAATGCATTAGACCTATGGGTTGCCTACAGTACACTTACCATTTATAATACTGTATGATAAAACCAGCAGATTTTCCCTTTAACTTTATATTTCACAAAATAAGGTGCCAATAGGATGCTGAACACATTATGTTAAAGTTAGAGCATTGTGTTTTCTCCCCATGCGTCAAAAGAAAATATGACAGGAATAACACAGAAAGGTAGACATTTTGTACTATTAAAGGATTTTTGGGGTATAAATATTTTTAAAAAAGAAGCTTCTTCAGTGGGCATCTAATGGTGTTAAAGCCAAAAGAAGGCATTTCCTCTGTGTGTTCAAAATTGTTAAGTTTCATAAATTCAGTTATGGAATTGTATACACAGTGGCTTCTTACTTCATATAGTTTGAAGAACAGGCATAATCCTGTATTCTGTACTATCAACAGACTTGTGACTGATTTTTCAGTAAGTTATTCCTGTGAGAGCATCCTAGCAGAATGATGTTGTACACTAATGTTGACTTATGACAACATTTGGTCTCCAGAACCTGTTATTGATGTTTTTGCATCATGTGGGGGTAGCATCCTGCACTCTGTCATGTCCCACCCTCTTCTAAGCTGACTATATATGTGATAGAGAAAATATGGAGCCGCAAACACAAGCTCAAGAGTATTCATTCACTAGCACAGTAGGGTTAAATAGGTTAGTGGGTACACCCCTATGGCCCATATGAAATCCCGGGTGTTTGAATATGCTTTCTACTGCAACAGTAAGATGTGTCATTTACAATAGTAAACAACATTCACATACAGCTCTGGTTTCTAATACATCATAAATTAATACAGCATTTGAAAAGAGCTTTCTCATTTCTGCTGACTGGAGGAAGCATACCTGTTAGAGAAAGGGAAAAATGCCTTCTTGACATGAATGGACTAAAATAGCTGCATGCATGTGTTTTATTATATGTTGTCTAAATACTGATAGTCAGTTATAGTTGTCATTTCTGTTTTTTTCTATAATTTATAAAATCTTGCCTGATTGTGCTATAACATTTTCCTTTTCCCATTCAACTTTTTTTCCCCTGGTTTTGTTGCATTTCTTGCATGCTTTCCTGTAAGAGATAGCAATTAATCTTCTTGGGTTTTCACTATCTTTTTCTGTCTCTATCTCAACGTCTCTTCTATTCCCCTCATAGTCACTATTGCATGTTTTCTCTCTTCTAATTTCTTCTGTTTTGTTCTGCTGTGTATTATCCTGTCTTATCTGCACCCATGCACTTGCACAACCTGGTCCACCTATCTAGCCTGCCCAGGCAATGAAAGCATTCACCGGGATCCCAATAGATGGATGATCAGTGCAGAAAACTAAGAACAGGCAGTGTTCCTGCTAGGTTACCACACAAGTGAGAAGTTGACCCTACCTAACATTGTTTTCCTTCTACTGCTTAAAGGATGATGCCTCTAGTTAGGGCATGCCTGATACATGTGAACTTTATGAGTTCTTCTTGCCTGCTGGGAGGAAAGAAAGGTCCCTTTCCTTTTCTTTCCAGCACCACCAACCTAAGAAGTTGGAAAGATGCTCATTTTGTTATCTCTCCTGCCTTCACTTTCGGAGCTCGCATTTCCCAGTGAACATCTTGTGTGTGTTTCTACTTGGGCAAAACTTTTATCAGGTTGGAAGATGCATCTGATGCTTATCCATTTCACCAATGTCCACAGAAGTTTCTGTAGCAGTGAAAGCTGAGGGGAGGAGCCACAGGCATGGTGCTTTACAAAGAATTGTGAGGGGAGCAGAAGCAAAGCTCTCTGTGCATACATGTGCAAAGACAGCACTTTTTGGAGTTAGTGTATGTAAAGATATTTACACAACCATGAATAGTAGAGCTTTTTAACTGCCAGTTATTTAGGTAATGCAGAAAAATGATATCTACTTTGTATGGCTCTTTCAAAACCATGGACCAATGTAGACAATAACATTCTTTGGCAAAATGGCTTTAGAAATTACTCTTGCCTAAGGAATTTGAATGGAAAGTCTAGCTGCCCTTTGCATCACTGTTGTGTAAGAGTAGGCCATAAACATGTGCGACCAGAATTTGCTTCAGAGCCAATTCAATCTGATTGTGAGCTTGTTTAAATGAAGTGTCTTTCAGACATTTGTATTTAATCAGAATATGCTGTGAAAGCGTCGGTATTTAGATAGCGTGTTTGCCACTTGACAAAGGAAACGCTTTTTGTAAATGCGAGAGTCTTGGCAAGATTTCAGTCATTGGAATGTGAGACGTGCTTCCCAGTGACCATATGTTGCAACAGTCCAGACTATCTCATTCTGCAAATCTATTAATGCTGTGGTACAATTTGGAGTTTTCAGAGCAGTGGTGGCGACTTTGTTCTTTGCCCTCTCTATTTTGTCCCCATCTGTCTTGCCTGACTTTCCATGCTTCCCTAAACTCTCTTTGCCTGTACAGAAGGGGATTACCTCTCCTCTGTGTCTGAATTCCAGTTAACATGGAAGGAATTAAGATCTCCCTGAGCTGTTGGTGTTGCCCATAAATGAAACTAAATATTTTCCTATGCTACTGAAAAATACATCTAATAAAAATGGAGTAAATATATGAAGGAATGCAGTGAACTGTTCAAGTTTTTAAATAAGATTGGGGAAGGTTGTGGAACTATTCCTGTCTATCCAAAAATAATTACCATTTTTCATTTGGATTCCACTGCATTTTCCATTTATGAGGCTCATATGGCTAATCCTAAATTACGGTTCCTCATCTGAACTCAGTCTGAACTGTTCAACTCCTTCATTTCATTAACAGAGCTCAGGGCTTCTGATGTGTGTTGGTCATTTAAGCTCTTGTGATAAAAGCAATATAAAAACATTGCTGGAGTCTTAGCTGGATGATTTAATGCATTTAGTGAGCTGATAGATGAGACCAACATTTGCAAAGAAGCAGAGAGATAAACAGGATTTGATATACACAGTGTATTTCTGTCCTCTGCATGTTGTACCAGAGGAATTTGAATTTTCTGTTTAATATCTCTTCTCTGCTGACTAAACTGGGGTCTAGTTCAAGGGGAGGACAGAATTAGTTGGTTTCTTTATTTGTATCTTGTAAAAAGTAGTAAAGATTGCTTTTTAGCTAAATTAAAGAAGATTCGCCTAGTGTGTAGATTTTGGTTTTTTTAAGGTTTGGGGATTCAGAGGCAGAACACAGTACAGACTGCTGCTAATCTGGCTGTTACTACCAGCCTCTGTCCATATGGCACATACTATTACTCATTATTTGAAGATTTCCATGTAATTGAGTTCATTAGATTTATCTGGGTATAAGAGGAAGGTAGGGACCTTTTTTT